GCACAGTGGAAATTTTGGGGTGTCAGGAACCTGAAATCACCATCAGGCTGCTGATGCACTCGCCCCGCAGGTACAGGTTGACTTGTTGGTGGCACCATACCGCCATAAGTTTTTTTCAATGAAGTTCAGAATGTCTTTCAGTAATAATCTAGATTTATTAAGATATATATGAGCACTTTATACAGACAAAAGCCCTCCATTTCAGTGCAATTTTTTAAAAAATTTTAAGTACCATAGTTTACAATATTGTTAATAAGCGTCATCCATAATACATTCCAGCACCAGCACCCCCCACCAGAGTGTTCACTTCCCGTCACCATTTTTTTTTCTTTTGTTCCTCTTGTTCTCTTTTGGGAAAGTTCTCCCTGTTGGCTCACCACTACCTGTTTTTATAGCTGTTATCTGCCAGTAATTGCTTTATCTGTTCAGTTTTTAGGAATAATGTATTTCTTTTACACATAGTCTAGGAAAAATTCTTATGCATTATTTAATATTGGCTATATTAGCATCAATACAGCACTGTAGCACTGTAGCACTGTCCTCCAGTTCATTGATTTGCTCGAGTGGGCACCAATAACCTCTCCATTGTGAGACTTGTTACTATTTTTGGCATATCGAATACGTTATGGGTAGCTTGCCAGGCTTTGATGTGTGGATGAGATACTCTCAGTAGCTTGCCAGGTTCTTCAAGAGGGGCAGAGCAATCAAACCCGGGTTGGCTGAGTCCCTACCCGCTGTGCTATCACTCCAGCTCTCCATCAATACAGAAATACTTAATATTCTTATTTTCAAGTTTTAAATTAAGCTTAAAATATTTTTATAAAGTAGCATTGATTTTTACTGGTATAAATGTTTTTGTCCTTTCACATATAATATGTTCAACTTTTAAGCACAAAAAGAGTCATTGCTCTGGTGGTGGGCATGGTACAGGGGCTTTGTTTTTTTTTTTGCTTGTTTTTTTTCTTTTTGGGTCACACCTAGTGATGCACAGGGGTTACTCCTGGCTCTGCACTCAGGAATTCTGGCGGTGCTCAGGGGACCATATGGGATGCTGGGAATCGAACCCTGGTCGGCCACATGCAAGGCAAATGCCCTACCTGCTGTGCTATCGCTCCAGCCCCAATACAGGGCCTCTGTACTTTGTCAAGTTTATTTCAGATACAAATGTAATAGTAGATATTCTTCAGCCTGCCCAGCAAGCTACCAAGAGTATCTCGCCTGCACGGCAAAGCCTGGCAAGCTCCCTGTGACGTATTCAATATGCCAAACACAGTAACAACAAGTCTCAAAATGGAGACGTTATTGGGCCCGCTCGAGCAAATTGATGAACAATGGGAGGAGAGCTATCATTTAAAATACTACATTTCTGATGAGCACCATTGCAGTAATTACTTACTGAAATTTACAGTATAAAAATATGACATTAATGAATAGCTTGTTTAGAGGAGCAGATGGAATATTAGCAGTCATAGAATCAGTTAACATGATTCTCAGATAATATATTTATATATAAAATATGGGCTTTATAAATATGTTTTATGTTATAAATAATATATGGGTTCTCATATTTATGCAATGCAAACGATGTAAACTTGGACAAAATACAAGTAGTTCTCAAACTTTTTTGAGAGGTTATGTAGAAGGCATAGATGCTGATATCCATATGTCTCACAGTAAATCAATAGTACTGTCTAAAATTGAAATACATGAAAAAATAAGACCTTCAGGTGCTTAGTTTTTCATAATCATTTCCTTATGTTCAGTGGGGTCATTTAGATGTGCAGGGTCATACTTAATAAATCATTAGCTGATGTTTAGTTAACTTTCTTTGCGTACCTAACTTTCTATAAGGTAAAGTTAACTTTCTATAAGGTAAAGCTAGCATATTAACATTTTAATTCTTATTTATCTTTTGGTTTTTGGGCCACACTTAGTGATACTTAGGGCTTATTCCTTATTTTGTACTCAGGGATTACTCCTGGTAGGCTCAGGGGGATCTGAGTGTCAGGGATCAAACCCTTCTTTGCTGTGTACAAGGCAAAAGCCATACCTACTGTGCTGTCTCTTCCACCCCTATATTAACTTTTCTTAATAGCATGACTGTGAAAGTGTATCAACATGATTCATCGGTTTGCTCGTGCAGGCCCAGTAACATCTCCATTGTGAGACTTGTTACTGTGTTTGGTATTTCGACTACGTCACGCGTAGCTTGCCAGGCTTTACCGTGTGGGCGAGATACTCTAGGTAGCTTGCCAGGCTCTCCAAGAGGGGCGGAAATTAAAATCCTGGACCCCATCAAAAAATGGAAAGAGATGAACAGAAGCTTCCTCAAAGAAAAAATACAAATGGCCAAAAGGCACATGAACATGCTCTTCAGGGGACTGGAGAGACAGTACGCAGGTAGGGCACTTGCCTTGCTCAGGGCTGACCCATTGGATCTGTGACATCCCATATGGTCCCCCTGAGCACCACCAGGGATGATTTCTGAGTGCAGAGTCAGGAGTGACCCCTGAGCATCACCAAGTGTAACCCACAAACTTTCTAAACAATGCTCAATCAACATGATTGAGAGCATGAATTTTGTTTTTCAGTGTTTTGGGGTTTGGAGTTATGCTTAGAACTATTCTAGGCTCTACTCTTGGGGTTGCTCCCCTGGATCATACAGGGCCCTCCAGCATGAATTCTTGATATGTAGTGCTAGTGTAACTGGGCAGAGTTACTGACTTCTCTGAGTTCATCTGTTTAAATGAACTTAATATCTCTTAATTCACACTTTGGGTATGGTGGTGGGGTGTAATGACTTTGTACATCAATTCCATAAGCTTTAACACTGCTTGACTGTTACAGTTGCATATTAGTTAGAATGGGGGTCAGCTAGTCAGAATTTTAGGTAACTCTATTACCTAAACTGTAATTAAAAATATTTAATAAAATAAAAATATTCCTGGGGGGAGTGGGGGAAGTCCTGAGTTCATGGTCCATAAATAATTCATAGAAAACTGTTAGCAAAGGGCTCAGATGTTAGTTTTATATTTATTGTTCCTCTCATCTCTGTTATGCATAAGAATGCCATTTATATTTTAAGTAATGACAGAAAGTTAAATCATAGTCATTGATGAGTGACAGGACTTTAGCTGAATTATTTCTTCATACTTGTCTTGCTTTGTACATGCTAGTCTGTGCTGATTTTTTTTTAACAATGAAAACAGAAAGCCATCTCTTTTTCAAAAAGAAAAAATAGGGTCCAGAAAGATAGTACAGTGACTAGGACATTTGCCTTGCACACTGCCAACCTAGCTTTGATCCCTGGTGTCTCATATTGTCCCCCAAACACCACCAGGTGTGAGCTCAGAGCCAGGACTAAGCCCTGAGCACAGTCAGGTGTCTCCTCGCCCCCCATCACCAAAACAAAAACTAAAAATATGCATTTTTGTCCTAGCACTTCTTTTGCTTCCTAAATCTGAGTTGTAGAGCCTTGAAATCTGTTATTTAAATACTGTTCAGTAAATTCTGCCTTAGGTTTGACAAGCAGTTGATACTAATAAAAAAAAGTAAGTAAAGGCCCTCCCGTTGATCATCGATTTCCTCGAGCGGGCCCAGTAACGTCTCCATTGGAGACTTTGTTGTTACTGTGTGTGGCATATCGAATACTCTCGGTAGCTTGCCGGGCTCTCCGAGAGGGGTGGAGGAATCGAACTCGGGTCGGCCATGTTGGCTGCGTGCAAGGCAGACACCCTACCCGTTGTGCTATCACTCCAGCGATGATACTAATAACGCACTAAATTCTAGTTAATGTTTATTGCCCGCCACCCCCAATATAAAGTGTGGTTAAGCAATGCCCTTTACCAGTCTGGTCTACTTTAGCACCCTAAGAATCTTAAGAAGTGGGCATGAGGATTTAGTCCCAAAATTTGAGTGGGGCTTGATTCCACCCCCACGAGATGACTTATTTTGTTCCAGAAACAAGAAAGAAAAATAAGGTTATATAGAAATGCCTTGACAGGAGTTCTTGACACTGGAAAGGGATGATGTAAAAGCTTCAGGGATGAGCCAGAATGTGCTGACAGTGCTCTGAAGGAGGAAATGTAAGAACATAGCAGGCACCAGACAGTGATACAAAATAACTTTAAATTAAAAACAAATTATGTAACCTCAAGAAGTCAGTTTTACTTCCACTCACCCCAATTCAGGTGCTTTCTTAAAGTAGTGGGGACACTTCCTTAACTTTCTTAGTTTAGAGCAGCCAGTAGCAGGAAAACTCGTCCTTGCCCTGGTTAGAAATACGACTTTGTTTGGATCAAGCAATAGTACAGTGGTTGGCCACTTGACTTGCTCATTGCCCACCTGGGTACAACCCCCGCATCCAATATGGTCCCCCAAGTACCTCCAGGAGTAAGCCCTGAGCAAAGCTATAAAATTAGAATGTGACCTTCAGTAAAACCACATGTGATACATATGCATATTAAGGTGTTGAACATTGCCTTATTTCCCATGCCAAAACCCAGGTTTAGAGAATAGAATCAAGATTTCTTTTTGTTGTTGTTCTTGGAACACACCTAGTGATGCTCAGGAGTTGTTAACTCCTGGCTCTGAACTCAGGAATTACTCCTGGTGATGCTCAGGAAACTGTATGGTATGCCGGAGATAGAACCTGGGTCAGCAACATGCAAGGCAAGCATACTAGCATTTTATGATTGATGATGTATTTGCATTTAAATCAACCATATTATTCTTTGTTTTTTATTTGTAGCACTATGACTCTGAGATTTCTTTAGCAAATTTAGTTTATAAAAGTTTTTATTTTTCTTTTTGAATAAATTTCTTTTCAGCTAGGAAATGCTGTCCATAAAAAATCACTTAGGTGTCAAGATTAGCACTTTATATACACATTGGATCATGGAAATAAAGATTTCTCTGGTCCTGCAGTCTACTCTCTCCTCACTGGCATAAAGACTAATACAGAAAACCTCTGTAACTATCTCTTTCTCCTCCAATTCCAGGAATGGTAGATGGTACAGCAGTGGAAAATTCAACTGAACTTAAACTCTTCTGAGACTGACTTGATTATATCTAGTATTAAGGTAAGGAAAATCACAGCCAATACAAAAGAATGGAAAGTCAAAATCAGTATGCCAGAAGGAAGAGTGAGCAAATCGAAAATGTGCAAAATTGCATGCTGCATAACACTTCATGATGCCTTGAAGTTTCTTTTAATGATGCCTTAAAGTTTCTTAAGTGTCTGGGCGGGGAAGGGGAGGTTGGAGGGGAGGGAGACGAACTTGGTGGTTTGAAAGACATATCTTTTTCTATCCTTTTGCTCTTAACTTTTTGAATGTAAATCATTTATAAGCTTCTTAGAGTTGAGTTTATTTTCCTCTCTGGTCTGACTGGCAGTATTGATCTTTTAATTGCTATTTTGGTCTAGTCACAGTTAATGTCATTGATGATGTATTTGCATTTAAATCAACCATGTTATTCTTTGTTTTTTATTTGTAGCACATATTCTGGCTGCTATATTTTTTTCTTGATCTGATATTCAAACTATTTTATCATTTCAGGGGCTGGAGGAATTGTACAGCAAGTAGGCACTTGCCTTGTACATGGCTGGCCAAGGTTTGATCCCTGACACCCTATAGAGTCCCCTGAGCACTGCCAACGAGTATCCTTGAGCACAGAGCCAGAAGTAACCCTGAGCACAGCCAGATGTAACTCCAAAACAAAAAAAAAGTAATTTTATGATTTCAGTTTTTTCTGTTATAGTTACACATTTCTGGAGGGTTACACTTGAGTGGGTTATGCTCTAGGGTCTATTATGGAGCTTCTTAGGGTAATCATGTAGTCCTAGGGCTCAAACCTAAGGCCCCCACATGCAGCCCAATCTCTCTGGCCCTAGTTATACATTTTTAAATGTTTTTAATTACTCAGAAAGTATATTATACATCCAAAGTCTTTTGAAGTCTAATATTAATTAGTAATTTTTACTACTTCAGAGTAATGAAAGTATTTTTATCATACTTAAACTCTATTTTCATCCTTAGACTCCTATGTCAGTTTAATCAATAGCACTGTAGCACTGTCCTCCTGTTGTTCATCGATTTGCTCGAGCGGGCACCAGTAATGTCTCCATTGTGAGACTTGTTACTGTTTTTGACATATTGAATATGTCACGGGGAGCTTGCCAGGCTCTGCTGTGCAGGCAGGATACTCGGTAGCTTGCGGGCTCTCCAAGAGGGATGGAGGAATCGAATTGAACCCAGGTCGGCCGTGTGCAAGGCAAACGCCCTACCCGCTGTGCTTTACAATTCTCTCAACTTGGTAGTAAACAGTCTTCCTACCCATTCACTGTAAACAGCGTCCTCAAAAACTGAGTCACTGGCAGACTGACAATGCCCCCACACCCATCAGTCCTGTGTTCTTCCAGAGAGTAACATTCTGTAGGCGTGTTGGGTGCTGTGGACCCTCCTCAAGTGTAATATAAGTGTGTAATATAAAAATTAATAAGTTTAGTCAATAATAATATAGGAACATTCTTTGTAAATGTTTATATAGTCAGTATGCTTTTGAATATGCTTACAAATCTACATTTTTTTAAATGATTCTCTTCTTTCAACATCTCTGAATTGTCATTTGCAATTTTTGGCATTTTGGGTCTCACCCATCAATGCTTAGGGTTTACTTCTGGCTATGCACTCAGGAATCACTCCCGACAATGCTAGCCGGACCCATGTGGGATGCCAGGGATCAAAACTGGGTCAGCCGCTTGCAAGGCCAACACCCTACCCACTGTATTATTGCTCTGATCCTTGAAAATTTTTTTTGTAAGTTTTATATTGGGTCTTAAACCCAGTGTACCAAACTTCTCAGGTAAAGTGCTCTTTGCTGTGTCTATCTTAGCCCACTTCATCTGAAATATATTTATTTTTCTGCCTGAAGAACTCTTTTTACTATTCTTCCACAGTAATCAAGACTCATTATAAATTTATTTTTTTCTTGAAAGTAGTTTTCAGTTTCGTTTTCTGAGGTCTAGTATTGTTGGATATAGAATGCTTTGTCTTTGTTTTTTACTATAGCATAAAAAAATTATCACTGTGATATGCCTTGATTTTTTTTTTCATTTTTTATCTTTATCTTTATTTGAGGTTCATAAGATTATTGAATCTAAGGTTAGTCTTGTCACTTTTAGAAGTGTTTAGTCATTTTTCCAAATTCTGTTTCTCTTCAGTTATAAATCTCTTTTTAATTAGAGCATTTATTAGACATTATCACGACATTCATTCTTTTTATTCAATTCTTCATCTTCTTTCCTTTTCTCCATATGTCAATCTGCATAAAATTTTCTCCTTTTTCTTAATTTATTAACTAATTTCTTTATCTTATTAAAATTGTTATTTTAAAAGTCACTGACAGGAAAATGCATTAATTGAATTTCCTGTTACTGTTTCTGTTTTCTAGTTTTTCCCATTTGCTTTCAAACTTTTCCTTTTGATGCCTGGTCATTTTTAATGTATTATTATTGTATGCTACAACCAAAATATTAAAATGATGATTTTAAGTTATTTATAATTTTATTATTTTCTAAATTTATGTCTAAAGTTAAACCAGGAACTGATTACCCTTAATTTAATCCAGTGAGTGGTTAAGATTATTCCAACCTTGACTTGAATCTTTGTGGAACTTAGTCCATTTCTGTTTCATCCTTTTTTCTGAATTGTGGCCTTTCAAGGTTTCAGATAAAAGTCTTAGTGGTCTTCACCTCTTCTCTTAGGCAGATTTGAACTCTGTGTTTTGTTGGTTTCTTTATGTGTTTGGAGGGATGAGGACTGGCTTCTTTGCGTTTCAGATTTCAGCTACATTTTCTCTGTTAGAATCAGTACTTTTTTTGAGAGGTAAAGCTAAGCTCAATATTATCTCTTAACTTTTCTTGTATATTTTATTTATTTTTAAACAATTTTTTTGGGGTCACACCCCGCGATGCACAGGGGTTACTCCTGGCTCATACACTCAGGAATTGCTCCTGGCAGTGCTCAGGGAACCATACGGGATATTGGGAATCGAACCCAGGTCGGCTGCATGCAAGGCCAACACCCTACTCGCTATCGCTCCAGCCCCTCTTGTATATCTTGGCCTTACTAATACTGACTTGGTTTCTTAGCATCTTCAAACTTATATTTACATTTTGCTTAGTTTTTCTGGTTCTTCTCGGTTGGATGATCAATGTAATAGATTCTAGTTAGCTAATCTAGAGTTTAACCACATGAAGTAGCTCTGGTTTTTATTAATGTTCTGGTGATGGTTGTTAGTGGTTTATAATACAGGCAGCAAGTTCGTTTTGGGTTCATGAGTTCCCAGAATTTGCTGACTCTATCTTTCCATAAGCTATAAATAATTTTTACCTTAAAGTTTTAATAAATAGAAAATGTAAGTGTAAAAGATCATATGTGACCTATAAGATCTACAATATTTTATTACTAGTGCTTTACAGAAAAAGTTTGCTAATCCCTTGATTAGAGAATAGAGTGGGTAGTAATTGCTACCCAAAGGTGGGGGAGGGGGAGGGTATTAAATTTAAGTACTGTAAGAGTGAAAGGAAAAAAATATAATGTGACTAGCAGGCTTGGGTGGGAAGGATCCTGGTGGGAAATTCTATGTGCAGATACTAACATATGCCCCAATAATGATTGTCCTACTAGTTATTTATTTTATTGAATTCTCTAGTATGTGTTCTTTTGGAAGCAAATAGAGGGGTAGATGGAACTCATATACTCTTAGAAATGTTCTCTTATACGAAGGATTTACATGTCCAATATGTCTTTAAGAAACACTTGTTTCTATAATGGGTTTTTTTTTTTTTTGCTTTTTTTTTTTGGGTCACTGCAAGCTACCGAGAGTATTCGATATGCCAAACACAGTAACAATAAAGTCTCCAATGGAGACGTTATTGGGCCTGCTCGAGCAAATCGACAATCAACGGGAGGGCCTTTACCTTTTTGGGTCACACCCGGCAATGTACAGGGGTTACTCCTGGCTCTGCACTCACGAATTACCCCTGACAGTGCTCAGGGGACCATATGGGATGCTGGGAATTGAACCTGGGTCTGCCACGTGCAAGGCAAACGCCCTACCTACTGTGCCATTGCTTCAGCCCCATCTATAATGTTTTTAAAATTTATGCCAAGCACAGTAACAAGTCTCACAATGGAAACGTTACTGGGCTCGCTCAAGCAAATCAATGAACAATGGGAGTACAGTGATACAGTGCTTTTATTTTCATAAAGTTCTTCATAATAGTGGATTACATTCAGTAGTTCAGCACCAGTCCCACCACCATCACACCTTTCCACCACCATTATTTTGAATTTCCCACCACCACCAGACCTGCCAAACAGGCAGATGCTAGATAGTTTATTTGTATTGCCCGCTATGATAACATAGGATGTCTCCCAGCCATGTGCTCCTAGAAATCTAAAATTTTAGATAATTAGGGTCTGGAGAAATCTTTGCAGCGAGCTGCTCAGTTCCAAGAGTCTTTTGTGTGTCTCTGAATCACAGTCGTTAATGAGCTTAAATGGTCACAGGAGGCAGCTTGTGGGTGTGACATCCCGGGTCCCGTGGGGGTAGGGAGATGAAGGGCCTGCCCATTTTCTATCCCATGAGACCTGGAGTTCCTGGGCTTTTCACTAGAAGATGTAGTTCTGGAAGATGTAGTTCGCTGAGATTCCCAAGGGACAGATGGAGAGACAACGCCTGCTCCCGTCTGAGGCAGCCCCGTGAAATCAGCCTGGCGCAAAGTCTGGAGGCATCTCTGCAGTGAGCTGCTCAGTTCCGAGAAAAAACATTTTTTAATTGTATATAGCTTTATAATTTATAACATTCTTCTACTTTTTTTTACAGATATACATTTTCAGGAAATGGCCTCTAAACCTTGGCTGAATTTTTTAACGTTCCTCTGTGGATCTGCAATTGGATTTGTTTTATGTTCTCAGCTATTTGGTATCATGTTGGGACAACAGGAGGATACCCAGCCTGTTCTTCCAAATGATCCTCATGGAGGACATCTTGATGATGTGGAACAGAATCCTATAAAAGGACAGATGAACTTCAATGCAGATGCTAGCCAACATAAAGGTATGGTAAATTCATTAAGGAGTAAGAATGAGCAGGAATTTTTAGCCACATACTGTGAAGTCATGGTATATTCTTTCACTTATCAGTCAATTTAACTTGTCGCTAATTTTGATAGTTCTACTTATTCATCATTTTCCATATTCTTCTCTCAGTCTACACTACATTTCTTTAAGTGAAGACCTTAATGTAATGTCGTCCATGTACTGGTACTCAACCAGACTTCATTCTTTCTGTTCTTTCTTCTGTTGAGCTTCAACTTAGTGTAAAGACCTATTTTCTGCATTATATCTTTTACGTTTTAGTATTACTTTATTCTCTTTTTTTCTTCATACCATCCCAGTCCCCGTTCAATTGCTCTGTTAGATTTGTCAACCACTGTTTTCTTAGCACATTGACCATTCTATGCATATTTTTATTACAGCATTTTTTTTTCTGTATATGGCAAGTATACAGTTAGATTTGAAGCTCTAAACTAAATTTTTCTGTAGCAGGATATGTATTTTGCCTTTTCATCTCCTGTGCCTGTACATGCCTACTACAAAGGAATGAATGACTAAATAAATAAAAGAATGAAGACTGTCTACCAGGTTCCAGCAGTGGAGAGGATATTGTCTTACTCTAAGGCAAATATTTTAGCGATTCTTCCATCCTCTGTTTTCCCTGTTCATCCAAGATTTTTTTTTTAATGTAGGAGTACTGCTGTTTATTCAGCCATTGATTAAGCTGATTGAATTGGGCATGTACTCCACATTGCTTTTTTAAAAAATTTTTTAAAAGTATTTAAAATTGAATATTTGTGAGATATACCATTACAAAGCTGTTCATAATAATTGGGTTTCAGTCATACAATGATCCAGCACCCATTTCTCCACCATTGTACATTTCCCATCACCAGTGTCCCCTGTTTTTATACCACCCCCACCCCCTAGCGCCTCCCCCCCGCCCCCACCACCACCACCACCATCAGCTTCCCTCTATGGGAGGCACTTTCCTTCTTGCTTTCTCTCTCCTTTTCCTTTCAAGCATTATGGTTTTCAATACAGGTGCTAAGAGGTCATGGTGTTTGTTCAGGGCATTTGGTATTTTTATCAGGATAGTAAGTCTGGAGTTGCTTTTCAATTAGGTGGCTGCTTTAGGGTGTGGATGTGACTGCTGAGGCTTCTAGAATTACAGGGAGCCTGGGGGAGGTAGCCCATCCCAATCCCAAGAAAACCTGGAGATTTCAGTCACAAAACCCCGATACCAGAATTTTCATCAGATTGTATCTTGGTGAAGTCCGCCCTGAGACAGTGGAGTCAGGCTGGGGGTATGGCAGTGATTTTGGATTGTGGAAGCAAGCAGCCGGGGGCTCTCCTTGGGTGAGCACCAGACTAACCTTCCCCCCTCTGATTTACTCCAGTCTGTTCAGCCATGCATGGGTCCAGGGTTAACTGCAGCTTTAGATCTCTTGAGATTTATTTATGGGTCTCTGAAGTAAGGCCAGTATAGTAGAGCTTACAGGGCGGCACTGTAGTTGGTTCATAAATTGACTGTCTGTGCTTGCAGGAGTACTGGGAAGTATGGGGGCGTAGCTCATCCCGACCCTGAGAAAGCCTGGAGATTTTAGTCACAAAACCCACATACCCGAATTTTCAGCAATTATATGTTAATGAGGTCCATCCTGAGATGATGGAGTCAGGTGGTGGGGTGTATGGTTGTGATTTTGGATTGTGAAAGCAAGCAGCTGTTGGGGGTTCTGCTTGGGTAGACACCAGACTGACCTGCCCTCCTCCGGTTTACGCCAGTCTTTTCAGCCATGTGCAGTCTAAGATTAACTGTGGTTTTTGATCTCTTTTGAGATATACTGAATAAAGGCCAGTAAATGAGCTTGCATAGATGAGCTAGAGGTGCTTGTGGGCGTGGATTTTGACTGTTTAACTTCTTGGTAAACTTGGCCCCAAGTTGCCGGGTCCGGCCAAAGGCTCAGCAGCAATTTTGGGGTATCAGAAAGCCTGACGGCACCATCAGGCTGCTGATGCACTTGCCCCACAGGTGCAGGTTGACGTGCTGGAGGCACCATACTCCTGTTCATCCAAGATTTAATATATCTGTGTAGTTAGAATATTGAACTTCTTCTGTATATACATATGAACTTTGCAATATCATCAAAAGGGATTATTTTCATATTTCCTTTCCCCTCTCAGTCAATTGTACAACATATTGACACTGGCTATTGTCATGTCTCAGTACTGATCCATATCTTAAAAAAGTTGAAGTAGGCAAGAATCAGAAACTTTCATGGTAACTTATGGTACTTTTATATATTATTTTTGGCTTTTCGGATCACACCCTGCGATGCTCATGGGTTACTCCTGCCTTTTGCACTCAGGAATTACTTCTGGTAGTGCTGGGGGACCATATGGGATGCCAGGAATCGAACCTGGGTTAGCCGCTTGCCAGGCAAATGCCCTACCTGCTGTACTATTGCTCTGGCCCAATTTATGGTACTTTTATCTGATTGTTAAAATGTTAGGGCTTATATTTTAAACATATTTGCAAAAGTGCCTGTGTCAGGGCCAGAGAGATAGTACAGCAGGTAGGGTGAGTGCAGAGTCAGGAGTAACCCCTGATCATCTCTGGGTGTGACCCAAAGCAAACAAACAAGCAAGCATTGGTCTCTGCTAACTACCAAAATTGTTATTTTGCCAAGTACTGGTATAGAAGTTTAGAATTTTACTATCTCTAGACCAGTACTATTGAATGTTTTCTGACCTGACACCCTAAGAATTGTTACCTTTCTGCACCCAGATAAAGTTGGAATGTAAGTCAGCTGAACTCAGTGCTTAGTTAAGTTTTAGGGGAGCAGTCAGTAGTGAGACTTTCTCAACTGAATAAGATTTTTTTTTGTATTATATTCTGGCATTAGGTCTTTCTTTGAAATCTTTACTTTGAAAACCACCACTCTACACAGTCTTGGAGATAAAGCCTCTACCCGTTCTTTTGTTTCTGACTGGATGGGTTTGTATTTTGGGATTAGGTTTTTTTTTATCATTCTGTATCAGAAGTAATCTAGCTCTGCATTAACTATTCTTCTTTGAACTGGAGTTGTCACAAAAGCTTTTTGAAAGTCCCTCAAGTTACTTATAGACATTCAGGACTATGAATTCTTACCAGCTCCAAAATGAGTTGTCACTGCAGCAACATGTATTATCTGCCTTCCAGAAGCTTATTCAGACCAGTGGGAAATTTTTGGCAACTGAGAACCAACTGAAAGTTGTCTTTGTTGAATGAGACTATTTTAAACAGAATTTAATAGTCATAAAAATCAACAGGAGAATTTGTTTACAATCAGTTTCTCATTTTGTCTGGAGTGGATTCTAAGATGCATTTCTAACTGCCAAGTCACTCAAATGCTGTTTGGTCAGTGAAACCAGTTCAAATAGTTAGAATTTGAGTCATTATAGTGCCTCTTATTAACTAGAGTGATCTTCTGGATACGATTGATGCTAAGCTAATAAAAAATAATATCAATTCTAATTATATTAAGTTTTGTTTTGTTTTCTTTGAGCTAAATCTCTTACAGGAAAGTGGCCAGAAGTGTGGGGAAGGAAGGAAGGCACCAGGGAAAAGTGTCCTTGAAATTGTTTAAGAAAATGCCTTTGTTAATTGGCTCTGTACATATTTGCAAATTTAACTTTCCATTTGTTTGTTTCATAGATGAAAACACAGTTGTTGCTGAGCACCTCTATCAGAAGGTTAAAATTCTTTGCTGGGTTATGACAGGACCTCAAAATTTAGAGAAAAAGGCCAAGCATGTCAAAGCTACTTGGGCCCAGCGTTGTAATAAAGTATTGTTTATGAGTTCAGAAGAAAATAAAGACTTTCCTGCTGTGGGATTAAAAACCAAAGAAGGCAGAGATCAACTATATTGGAAAACAATTAAAGCTTTTCAGTATGTTCACGATCATCATTTAGAAGATGCTGATTGGTTTATGAAAGCAGATGATGATACATACGTTGTACTAGACAATTTGAGATGGCTTCTCTCAAAATACAGTCCTGAACAACCCATTTACTTTGGGAGAAGATTTAAACCCTTTGTAAAGCAGGGCTATATGAGTGGAGGAGCAGGATATGTACTGAGCAAAGAAGCCTTGAAAAGATTTGTAAGTGCATTTAAGACAGAGAAATGCACACATAGTTCCTCCATTGAAGATTTAGCACTGGGGAAATGCATGGAAATTATAAATGTAGAAGCAGGAGATTCCAGAGATACCACTGGAAAAGAAACTTTTCATCCCTTTGTACCAGAACACCACTTAATCAAGGGTTATCTGCCTAGAACCTTTTGGTACTGGAATTACAACTTTTATCCTCCTGTAGAGGTAAGTTGAGAATTTTTTCTTAATGTTGTAAAATACTTGAAATGACTTTGATTTGCTCTTTTTTTTAAATGTGTATGTTTCTATAGTGCCAATTACTAAAAATCTCCCTTAGTGGTTTTATAAAGTAGCTGTATAACAAAGACAAGGACAGGAATGTCAGCAAGAGTCACTCAGTAAATAAACCAGCATATATTTATATAGCAGTAAATATAGCCTAAAGTCCAGTTCAATGAACGTTGCATTCTAAGTGAGGAGACAAATAAATGAATAGATTATTCTGAATGAGGAGACAAATAAATGAATAGATTATTCAAATGACAGTATGCTTTTAGGATGTGGCTTTAAAATAATCATGAGAGGGCATAGATACAGAATAAAGCTATAATTTTCAAAGTTTTTTACACCTTTGGTTGAAAAGCCAATAGTTCTTACAGTTAAGGAAGACGTTTCTAAGGAGTAACTTTAGAACAGAAGGTGGAGTTAAATTATAAGGCAGGCAATGTGAAGATCTTTGCATTTTCAGAAACAATACCTTAAAAGACTTAGAGGTGTTTCAGAAAAGTAGAAGTTCGTACTTTGTCCTCACACAAGTATCTGAATGCTTTATGGTTAAATTGGACTCCTGAGCTCTAGTTTTCTCATTTATAAAATCTTTTCTACCTGTCATTCAGTTGGACTTTCATTGTATATAGATGGCTGTTACATTCAAATTTTAATAAAATTTGTTCTCATTTCCCACTTTATCTTATGTTCCTAAGAGTTATATCTGAAGTACATTATTTTCTTCTTAAATATTTCAATGACGGGCTGGAGCGATAGCACAGCGGGTAGGGCATTCGCCTTACAAGCGGCCAACATGGCCAACCCGAGTTCGATTCCTCCGCCCCTCTCGGAGAGCCCGGCAAGCTACCGAGAGTATTCGATATGCCAAACACAGTAACAACAAAGTCTCCAATGGAGACGTTACTGGGCCCGCTCGAGCAAATCGACGATCAACGGGAGGGCCTTTACCTTTACCTTACCTTAAATATTTCAAATGTAGTTAGTAGTTGAAAAGAATATTTTGTACCCAGCAACCAGTTTTACCAAATACAAAGCTTTTACTCATTTATTTTAGATATTTTTTAAAGAAAAAGGTATAGCTATTGCTGAGACTCATATGCCTTCCCCAGTTCAGTTTTCTTACCATCCTTCCACAGTTAACCACTAATCTCAAATTTATTATTTATCATTACCATGCATTTTTTGATATTTTGTACATCTTGTATCTACAAATAATATAAATATAAAATACTTTGTATGTTTTAAAATACATGGAATTACTGCCTTTTTCATGTAACATTAAAATTTCTCAACATTAATGTTATATATCAAGTAATTCCACATACAAGTGGGCAAGATTTTAATTCAAACTCGGGTTAAATTTGCAACATTTCCTTCCTAATATATTCTATGTTGGTGTTTGAGTTAAAGTGTAAAGTGTAAGATTGCTTCTTTGGCAAACCACACCACCCAATAAGAGAGAGAACAAAAGGGAATGCCCTGCCACAGAGGCAGGGTGGGATAGGGGGGATGGGGGGGTGGGAGGGATACTGGGATCGGTGGTGGTGGGAAATGGGCATTGTTGGAGGGATGGGTATTTGATCATTGTACAATTGAAACCCAAGCACAAAAATTTGTAAGTCTACAACTGTACCTCATGATGTCTCACTAATAAAAGTTTAAAAAGTATTTAGTTTCTTCCTTTGACATATCTAATAAATTTGGTGCCTCCATTTTATCTTACAAGCTTTAATGCTTGAATTCTGTTAAAAATTGTTTATTAGTATGTGACTATTATGTGTTAAGAACTGTTCACTAGTAATAGCTGTTTTCACTATTTTTTTTTAAGGGTCCTGGTTGCTGTTCTGATCTTGCAGTTTCTTTTCACTATGTGGATTCTACAACTATGTATGAGTTAGAATACCTCATATATCATCTTCGTCCATATGGTTATTTATACAGATATCAACCCGCCTTACCTGAGAGTAATGTAAAGGATACTGTGTCAGATGTAAAAAAATGAAAATCTAAAAGTAAAAGTGGGAAAAACATAAATGAACTATGGTAAAATTCTTGGCATTGTGCTGAATAACTTGTTGAACACTGGAATCCCAGTGAGGAATTCCTTGTAATCGAAGATTCTATATTACACATCTTGCATATGAATGACTGTAAACTGAAGCTTTAAGTAAGCTGTGAAGTCTGATAAAATGTGTTTTCATATTGTTTATACACACACGTTTATATGTATATAACTTGTCTTTTTAAAATGATGGTCACACAGAGGAACTGGAAAAGAGTTTGTTGCCTCTTCTGACCACATGTGTTATTTTCATTGAGAAACTGAAACATTCAAATTGGCTAAATCTACACTGCACCATATTAGTAACACATACATGATGCTAAATGGATCTGCCTTAAAATTTAGAAGGAAATGCTGTTGCTCAGTGTTACTTAGAAACTCAAAATATGAGTTAATATTTCAGTATGATATAAGTGAACTACTCACACACATACTCACACACAGTTTTTTGTAATGAAAACTTTGCTGACTATAATTGGCAGTATTCCTTTCAAAAGAAGGTAAAATAAGAATGGCACTTATCCTCAAGTTAATTAAAAAAACACATTTGAAAATTATTGTGGGCTGCCTTGACTGTATTATATACTTGGTTCTAATTAGTATCTTTTGCCAAGTCCCTCTTGTCTCTTTTCTAAATATGTTTAGCCACTCTTTAATATTATTCTCAACTGTTTACTCAGAGCATCAATAGTGTTCTATAAACATGCATTTTAAAATCTTCTGTTCCCAAATTTACCCATTTTTGCATTTGGGTAATAGTAAACTTAGCTTTGGGAGCATGCTTTTCTTTTTCTATTTGCTTGTTTGGGGGCCACACACAGCGGTGCTCAGAGCCTACTCCCTGCTGGTACTTGGAGGTGGCTTCTGGTGGTGCTCTGGGGACCATGCAGTGCCCGGGATTGAATCTGGCATCCCACATGCTTTGCATGCGCTCAGTTCATGAGCTAGCTCTGTGGCCTGGAGATGCTTTTAGTAACATTGCAGTGCCACTCTCAGGAATTACTGACATTTATAATTGGTTATTTAAGACTTCTTCCAGCTACATAATTACAGTTCCTTTCAATTCTCACCCAGATAGATGAGAACATGTTTGTGCCTTTCATAACTTGTTTAAAACTGTTTTGAAATTCATTTTTACAATGTGAGGTGGCTGTTACTCTAACAAAATAATTTGACTGCAATATGTTGACCGGAGTTAATTAAAAACATTAAAATATACTTTAGAGCTTACAGAAACTGAAATATGTCAGATATTGAAGTACCAAATATTTAATTTATTAATAATACCCAGAACTGTGATGCTGACTTGCAATTTGTGGTTCATTGTTTTGCCAGTGAGTAATTCTGGTCAAGCAGAATGCCCCTTCCAAATTGTCACCAAAATCATTTTTGTAAATGTTTGATTTTAATGACTCTCAATTTAAAGAATTTCTAGAAGAAAAGAAAATTAAAACTTTTTGCTATCTTGGCTGTATTTGCTCAGTTATCTAAGAATACTTTATAATTACAAGATTATTTTTTGTTACAATTGACTTACATTTCTCTATGTTCATCATATGTAAGATGCCTGTTACTCCACTGACCTTGCAACTTAAGTAGCTTCTGTTTATTGTGCTAGTTCATGTCAAAACCATGACCTCTTTGGATGGTATATTTGAAATGTAGTTCATTTAGTGGCTAGTTGTAGATTCCACATAGTGAGAGCCGACACCAGTTTTTAATCTGTTAAATGTTTTTTTCATTATTTTCTTGGTGTTAACCAGCCAAAATTACATGACATTCTATAAATAGCTCTTCATCTTGGTGTGGATATTAATTTATGGGCAGTCGCTGTATATTTATTACTGCTTTTTTTGTACTGTAAATGCATTTGCCACAAATGTTGAAAAAAAAACTTAAGAGTTGATTCAGAAGAGATTAGCATTGTGATGAGTCCCAGACTCTGGAGCTAGGATACTTGGGTTTAAATTCTTGCTTTATCTCTTAACTAGTTTTGTGACCTTGAGCAATTTACTTATCTCTCAGTGCCTCAATTTCCTCATCTGTATATTAGGAATAATAATACTACCTACCTCACAGGACTATTAGAAGGATGAAATGAGTTTAAAAAATATATATGTATATGTATATGTGTATATATATACAGCTTTTAGAACACTGACCCAAATGATGGAGCAATAACTGTAAGGTTTTGTCATTATTCTGTTACCTTGGAGTGTAAATATTGATTAAAATGAATGAAAAATCTACTTTAATAAAATCATTTTGAAGGTACTATTTCTTAACTAACTGATACTAGCTAGTTTTTATCTAGTGCCTACTTCTTGTTTGCCAGGAACTCTGCTTATTCTGTGGACATTAGTGTTAATCCTTACAAATTGGGTGTTGTGCCCATGTTATAGATGGGAAAATTGAGGCACAGAGACTTAAACTAACTTTTCACTGTGACAGAGCTGTTAAGTAACATAGCTAGGGTTTTTATTCACAACCTTTATATTCTTTGTGTCAGTTTTGAGGTTAGTCATTTAGCATTACTTCTGTGTTGATTTATGTGATAAGTATCATTTATTTCCTTGGCCAGTACCAGTCATGTTATTCAGCCAAATTGTTACAGTGGTTCTCAATTGTGGTTCTTACACTCTTGCTGGGAGCATGTTAAAATGAAGATTTAAAAACTGCGGTCCCCCAAAATCTGATTCTGGTGGTGGCAAAGGAATATGATGTATTGTTACTAGCTAGTTTGAAAATTGCCCTGAGATCCAGATGATTCTCTTGCCGAAAGTTCTTGAAACTTGAGAATTACTGCCCCATCAAAGATTTAGAGAAAGCATTTTTTAAATTAGTATAGTGCAACATCATTCTATATTAATGTAAAAAGACTTTAAAGATCACCTAGAAGGTCAGTGGATCATTTTTTTTCAAACTTCTTTAGCTTTTCAGAGTGGCTAGGGTTAACAGAAATTTTTTTCTCAAAATTTAGTCATTGATTTCACATTAGGTCAGGAAGATTCTTTTACATTCTAGTAATACTAATTCATTAAAATGATACGTAAACGAATTACATCAGAATTGACCACAGTTGTTAGTCAAAACAAATTTTAAGAGATAACAAAATGCTATTTTGTAATATACAGAATGTTTTCTGCTAATTCACTCTACTGAAGTTTCATCATTTTCATAATTCATTTGACTGTTCTATATAATGTAATAAAGCAGAAATTTCTTCAAATATTTATAGAGCATATAAAATCAGATTTTATGATGATACAGACTTACTGTCTTTTAAAATAAGATCTTAGTCATTGGGATAAATGACTTTACTGTGGTCTGAAAACTAAAGGCTTTTGCTGTCATGTTCTCCATTAGCAGTATACTTGTGTTTTTAAGGGAAGATTCATAAAGTTCAATTTTTGAGTTGAATACATAAAATTGTATTCAGAAGTCAATACAAAGTGGACTTTTGACACAAAGTTCAATATTTTTTTTAAAATATTAAGTTTCAGAGGAGTATGTTGCATTAAGTACATATGAAAATAAATCACCATTTATAAATATTTTTAATTATGATAATTGAATCAGCATGAAATTTGCTAACTGGCTATTTTTATAAGTGTTTCTTGAGTATTTTTTACTTCCTTGATTCTATCAAATTATATTAGTACCAGATTGAAGCTTAAAATTTCTCAGTGATTTTGTTTTCTGACTTTTCATTCCTTATTTAAATTTTCTTTTTGATTATTCTTTGATAACATTTTTGCTTCTTTGTATTTATTTCCCTTCTTTATTTCCCTGATAATTTCAATTTTTTAGCTATTCTTAAGACTGCTTTCTAAAGGTTAATTTGGATGTTATCAATAAATAGAATTTGTTTCACTTACAGATTATTTTATACCTGTTACATTTTTATTTTCACTTTGATTTTTTCTTTGAAATTGAAAGTAGTAAATTAAGAATAATGCTTGCTAGTTGTCAGGATGTTTGCCCTACTTAATCTGTCGTTTTAAGCTAATTTTAGATAGTTGTTGAATGAAGGAAAATCAAAGTATTTGTATTCCACAAATTACCCCATCCACCTAATACATAATTATTCTCTTTATAAACAACCCAACACCCCATCTCCAAGCCCTCAGATACACCTCATTTGGCTAATTTTTCTTTAGAATAGACTTGAAAGAAATATATTTAAATCTGGTGACAACCTGTGGTTTATTTTATGTTAAATGTAATTTCAATGGATTAAAAACAAATGACATTTTCTATATCAGAGTTGAAATAGAAATTTTAATAAGGTTAGAATAAAAAAATAGAAATTCTCTTTAGAGAAATAAACTATAAAATTAGTTTTAGAGTTTAATAGTGCCTCTATTTCAACTCCTTCACCTCTCTAGTTTTCATTTAAGTTTAAATAACTTTGCAGAGACCTGCAAATTAATAATTCATAGAATATTATTAGAGGGAAACTAATTTTACTGCTAAGCAGTGTGTTATATTGCACAGTGAATGTTTGGGAATTTAAAATTTATATAAGGTATAGTATGAGTGTTTTAAAAATGTTTGGTGACTTGCTTATCTTAAGTGATCACCAATAAGTCAGAAAAAATGTATTTTCAAATGTTTTTTAAAGTGCCTTTTGAACATTTTATTAAATGATGGATTTTTTTAACTGCATAAAATAAATTACCATGTTTAAAGTTGTTTTATCTGATTATTTTTTCAACTGTTAAAAAATTTTAGGTGAAACATTGTCTTTTATAAATAGATTTGAGTGGTTTTACCAAGAGTGTTCATTTTTTTATCACTTTTCTTCATTTTGATTAGGCTTAAATAATTTTCACTGATCCATATATATATAATTTATTTTTAAGCAGTGAAATATTTCATCTCTGATTTTGAATCTTCAAGAAATTACAAACACCTATGTTACAGATTTGGGGTGTGTGTGTGTGCACTCAGGTGTGTGTGTTTGTATGTGTAGTGGAGAGAGGGAGGTAGATTGTCATGTCCACCAAGAAACTAATTCAATATATAATGGTATCTGGCATCTACAGGGCAGAGTCTGGCAAACTCCCCGTGTCGTACCAAATATGCCAAATACCAGTAACAATGATGGGTCTCATTCTCCTAAAGAGCCTTGAATATAATCTCAGGGCTAGGATGAAAGAGACGTTACTGGGGCCTGCTCGAGGCAATCGACGAATAACAGGATGATGAAATGAAAATGAAAAAAATCTGGCATCTACTGGTAATACAGTGGTGAGCAAGACATTCAAAATCCCTGTTCTTTATAGATCCTTAATTTTACAACTGTACAATTTACAAATAAATAAATGAATTAAAGTATAATATTAGAAAAGGTGATTTGATCGAGCAGATTTCTGGAAGAGATTAAGATGCCCGTGAGGAGGTAAGCTAAACTGAGATATGAGTGACATTCTGTATACTTAAAACATTTTTATTTATGAAGTTCTTTACTCCAATTATGTTTTTATCTTTGCTTTCCCATGCTTTAGGTACATATGAAGGTTCATTAAAATACAATCTTTGGGCCAAAAATTTGTTTTCACACAAATATGATCCAGATTTTAGGTCCACTAATAGTAAATCTAGGGCTTTCAGAATATGAATAAAACTTAAACCTACTTCTTCCTGGGTAAACAGTTACAAAAACCCTTGAATCTAGCTTGTCCCTTAATTTTCAGTATTGAGACAATATTGCTACCCAGTATGTCCCTCTCTTATTGGGTATTAACATGTGAATATACTAGTCATATTTAGCTGCTTTAAAAGAAAGCTGAGGAGGTGTCACTTCATATTGCTCTATTCATAAATGTGTAGGGTCAGATAGTACAGCAGGGATGCATGATTTTTCTTTCCATCTTATTCAGACATCTTGTTTTAATTGTATTTAGTTGTGCTACTAATGATAATGAATTGGAGATGATTCACCTAAATACCTACAGACTTACTATCTATTTTAAGTTTTCCAGACATAGTTCTAGAGAAGTTGTAATACTGCTAAATGTATGTTTTTGCTAAACAGGGGTCTAGGTCCCCTGTTAGTACAGCAGGTAGGGCATTTACCTTGATCCCAGCACCTTTTAACGTCCCCTGAGCCCTGCCAGGAATGATTGCTTTGTGCAGAACCGGGAGTAAGCCCTGAACACAGCCAGGTGTGGCAAAATAAATAACCAGAAGAGCTCTACCTCCAACATATTTTACTAAATATCTAACCATATATACATTGAAAAAATAGAAATTATTTTAATACTGATTAACACTTTTGCAACTAAAGTTGACTGAACCCAACACCATTGGTATTCTTTAGATGTGTGAGTAATAGTAAAATATAGATGTGAACTTTGTTTTTCCATGAATTTGAGTGTTTGTGAGTTTAGTGTTAGTGACTAGAAATTTAACCACTCTAAATGTCTTCAGGCTATCTTCATGTCATATCATTTCTTCTGCAAAAATCCCTGCTATTTATTTATGCAGTGTTTCTCATTTTGTTATATTTCCATTTTTCCAAGACTGAAAATTTGCCCAGAGTATTTGTATACTTTCTTGGCGTATATAATGCTTTTGCACAGTAAAATTGAGTACAGTTGCTTACTTTGCAATAATTAGCCATTTTTTAGAATCAGTATGAATTTTTGACTCTTTGAATGGTTTTCTAATGATTTTCTCATCAAAGGTTATTACTGACTTATTTGGAGAACTACAGGATGTACCATCTATAAAACTAAAATGAATACCAAGTATTAGTCTTAACTAATCAGGTATTGACTTTTATCAGCTTTAAATATTTTTTTTTAGAACTCACTTTAAAATGCATTGTTTTCTATTTTTGTAACTATAGCATGGTGTTTCCCAAAGTGGGTCCTGGAAGGTGATGCTAGAATAATGGAAGGTAGTATCCTTTGGTGCAGTGATGGGAAGGGAGACCTTCTTGTTTGTTAACTTAAAGAAAGTACATTTCCAGGGGTGAGCGTACTAGATTTTTTGTATTCTCTCTCTCTCTCTCTCTCTCTCTCTCTCTCTCTCTCTCTCTCTCCACACACACTCTCTCTCTCTCCACACACACACTCTCTCTTTCTCCACACACACTCTCTCTCTCTCTCTCTCTCTCTGTCTGTCTCTCTCCCCTCTAGATTTTGTGTATTGTTTCTTTCACTCGCTCGCTCGCTCTCTCACTGAGAAGGGGACAATAGGTCAAATAAATTTGGAAACTTCTGCTCTTGAGTCTTTTGGTGGCGTTTCATTTGAATTTAACTTTTCATTGGTTTTGAAATTTAGAAACTACTAAGTATTGAAGAAAAAATAATGATTCAACTTTGGTTCTGTACAAGAATATCGTATTCATGCTGTTCTCTGGTGAATATGTGGTGGAAGAGCACCAATTTTGATGCTTCGATATTTTTAAAAATATTCAAATTTTTGAGGTTTTAAATTACTGATTCATGACTATTGTATTTACATAATTATTAATCATAATACAAGCTTTAATTATATTTGATAATGGAGGTAGCTGCTAGGTATGACTGAGCATATTTTATTTAAAAATAGTAATTTTTACAAATTTGTTGGGTAAATTTATCCTTATTTTTGCCTTTGAATTTCTCTTAACCTTCCCCTATTACTCTTTCTTATTTCATGCCTTTTTTTTTTTCTTCCTTTCTTTCCTCATTGGCACCAGTACATGCTGGCTCAATTCTAAACTTTCTTCTCTACAGACATGTTTCCTTTTCAGGACCCTACAAAGATGTAAGTGCAGTTTTCAGTACTTAAAACATTGAGTCAGCTGGGAGTTTTTTAACCCCAAACTGATGTCATTTTGTCTGGTCAAAGTGATGGAGGTTTTGAATCATACTGTGATAAAGGGAACAGAAGGGAACAGAGTGTTTTCTACCACTTTTTTGTAACAGTGAAGCAGAAGATTCTCCCCTGGTTTGCTGGAGGTGAGGTTCAACCCTCAGTGATATATATGTATCAGTTACATAGCCAAGGGAGTGACACAAAAATGGTAGCATATCTTCTCAACCAGCAGCCTTTACTGTCTAGAACTTCAAGTTCTACTAGTGTGAAAGTAATTGAATGAGAGAGCAAAAGCTTTAAATTTGTGGGGGAGGGGGATGCAGGTATCTAAGCAGTGCTAAGCCACCCCTTCTTAGGTATGCAGACACATATTGTTACCTAATCTGATTCCAAATAGACCAAGAGATCGAATTTGAGGGGCACACAGGTTTCACACCTTCAAGCACTTAATTTAAAACCTTGGGGTCTGAGCATACATTGGGCAGGGGCATTTGCCTTGCATATGGTCCGCTCAAGTTCCATCCCTGGCATCCCATATGATCCTCTGAGTATGGGCAGGATGTGCCAGTGAGCACTGCTAGGTATGACCTTAAAAAAAAAAAAGCAACAACAACAACAACAAAACCAAAAAATTTAAAACCTTAAAGAGCAAATAGTTAATTTTATGTGTCAAGGTAACTGGCTCAATCAATTTATGTATCAAATTGATATCTGTAAATCTTTCTGGGAGTGTTGATGAGGATATCCTGGTTAAGATTAGTATTGAGTAGGTTAACTCAGTGAAAATTGATTGTGGTTGGACATAATTCAACCTGTTGGGGGCCTGAGTAGGATGAAAAAGAGAAGGAACTCTCTTCTCTTTCCTACCTCATTACTTGAGCTGGCACAACCCATCTGTAATGCCCTCAGACTGAAATTTACATCATCAACTTCCTGGTTTTCAGGCCTTGGAACTTATTGGAACTTGGAATTTACTGAGATTGAATTTATCTCAATAGATTATGGTGCTTGTTTGACTTATATACTGTAGCATTTCTCAGCATCCACAATTCATAAGTCAACACTTTATCTCATTTTAGATAAGTTCTGTTTCTCTGGAAAGCCCTGACTGATAAAAAGTTACCTCAAAGAGGCTTTATTGATTTATTTTTTTGGATCTATTCTTTTTCGATAGCAAATTCTTTGTTAAACTTGACATCAATGTTGGTCTGCAAACTGAACTGACTTGACACCATGAAGTAAAGTAGATATTTTATGTGAAGGATTATCACAACTAACAGTGATTTTTTTAAAGGAAAATATATTTCAAAGAACAAAACAACAAAAGATGAAAATACTCAAATCTAATTTGGGCAGAAAACCTTAATCATTATATACAAAGGGTTTCATTTCATTGTTATAAGGAGGCCTTCTGTCATATCTTTTAAATGTTCACTACTACCTTCTGAATTAAATGCATACCCCTCAGATTTCATGACAGTCTGTAAGAAGAATTTTATCTAGCAAGAAAAAGTTTAAGGGGCTGGAGCGATAGCACAGCGGGTTGGGCGTTTGCCTTGCACACAGCCAACATGTCCAACACAGGTTCGATTCCCAGCATCCCATATGGTCCCCCAAGCACCGCCAGGAGCAATTCCTGAGTGTATGAGCCAGGAGTAACCCCTGAGCATCGCCGGGTGTGACCCAAAAAGCAAAAAAAAAAAAAAAGTTTAAAACGCAGGTCATTCAGAAAAGATACCATGATCACTACCCTGAGAGTCAGGAAACCTGAGTTCAGAGATCCGCACTCATGGCCAGAACAATTGTGCCATGGATAGAGTATGTGACTGACCTTGGTTCAATCCCTTGCAACCCATATGGTCTCCTGAGCCCTCCAGGAGTGATTCCTGA